AATTTAAACTCCTCACATATTTCTTTTAATACTTTACCTTCAGATGTCAAAGTAAAAGGTACAGCACTATGCCTGTCATTTTCTGATGTAACTGTATTAAAATCTCCACATAAAATGGTATTAAATCCTATTGAGAGAAGTTCTCTAAGTCTTTTAAAAAGCTCTTTTTTTAGTACTTTCGGGTGGAGTGTATACATTAATAATTCGATATTTATCATTTCTATAAAAACAATCTATCATGAGAAGCCTACCTGTAATTATGTCCCTTCTCCTAATGATATTAACCTCTTGAGAATTAAAGAAAATTCCTACCCCATCTGCACTACTTTCACCAATTGAAATAACACTTTTACCTTTAGACCACATATCACACACATTTTTAACATCTTCATCTGTTGTCAAACTCAATTCCTGAGTACATAATATGTCAAAGTTGGTATTCAACAAATAATCAATTTTTTGCTGTCTGAAAACATTGGATTTTATGCCACATACATTCAAGGTAGCAACATTAAGAAAGCACATAACATAAAGGTCTAAGGTGTGGGTTTGTTGTCATGCCGTTTACTTTTTTTTTTCTTTCACAAAACGTGATTTTCTTTTCTTTTTTTTTTTTTAACAAGTTGAAAGGGTTCTTCAGACTCGCTCAAGGGAGCAGGAAACTCAGGTGTGGTGGAAAAACAGTCCAGCTTACTGATGCAGGGGATGAGCTCAGCGAGAGGAGAAAGAAGGGGAGTACTACTGACTCTCTGACCAGCTGTTAGTGGGTCAGAGAGATCAGAGATCGGAGACTCACTGGCACTCTCATAGCTATGCTCATCATCATCATCATCACTACATTCAACGTCAGTATTTATGACAAGTTCAGGACTTGGGGAGAAGCTGTTGCGGGGGATCAGCTGAACTGGGGCCAGGACGAGGCTGTTGAGCTGCAGGCTTGAGACCCGCTTGCTGGCTGCATGGCTGCTGGTCTGCTGGATCACGCTGCTGTTGTGGTCGCTGGGTGGAAGATTGAGGCGCAGGCTCGGAGCTGGGCTGCAGCTTTGGAGATGGTGGCTGGCTGTGTGACCGTCGCAGAGTAGCAGACTCGGAGCCGGGCTTCAGCTGCTGAAATGGTGGCTGGCTGTGAGTGTGCCGATGGTCCGCTGCCTTGGGGCCCTGTTGCTCCTATCGACGCAGCTGTCAATCAGATGGGCGTTAACCACCAGGGGGCTGCTGGTTCTGCTGCTGCTGCTGAGCAGGAGAAGGATGGAGCTGCTGCTGCTGATCATCAGGGGGGCTGGACTGTGGTTCCGGGCTGCTGGTGCTGCCGCTGGTCATCAGAAGGCAGGATGGTTGATCCAGGCTGCTGGTGCTGCTGACGAAGCTGCTGCTGCCGCTGCTGTTCGTCAGGGGGCTGCTCAGAGGAACCAGGCTGCTGCTTCTGAGATCTGACTTGGTTGGAATATGATCTTGGACAGGAGAAAAAGGTCTGGCCGTTTTGTCCACACAGGTTACAAACGCCTTCCAGGGTGCATGATTTTGCTTTGTGGCCGAGATTGCCACATCTCAAGCACTTAACTGTTAAACACTGCTTCACCTGGTGGTCAGCCGAGCCACAGATGAAGCAGGTGTTTGTCCCGGGTAAATGATGCGCCCGTTGTATGGACCGAGAGAAATACTGTTGGGAAGTTGTTTGTACTGTCCGTTAGAAGTTTTGTGCAGTTTAATTTTGTATTTTTGGACACCATACCAGATGCCATACTTGTCCAGTGGTTTAATGACCTGTAGGATGTCACAATACCGCTTCAGAAATAAGTTGATATCGCTGTCTGGCACCCTGCCAGTCCAGAACTTGACAATCACATTTATGACATCCAGCTGAGTGGAGGACTCCACCGTCCACTCTTTCCACTTAGGTTCTCCTTGTTTGGAGGTGTATACCTTCAGGAAACGTTTTAAAGGAGCCTCTTGGAAAAATATTAACTCGAAATCTCTTTTATTTGGCAGAGATATGAACGAGTATACATCCGTGACATTTATCCAGCAGGATTCCAACAGTAGTTTGTCACCGACATAATCACGTGTAGGAGGCTCACCATTGCGGACAAATCTCAACTGAGCCCAGTATTGTCCATGTTTGGAGGCAAGTGGAGGCGTCTTGCCAAGAGGAGTCATGCTGACTCACTGCCCAGCCGGGCGTGAGGCACACGGAGAGGAAGAGACCGCTATCCACCGGTTTTTCCACGGCCACTCATTTTTCAGATGCTCTCTAAAGTCGGGACAAAGAGAAATGTCCTCCTTTGCCTCTGCCACTCATCTTCTCTGATTAGTCACTCTTTTCAATAGAAGGCTTCTTGTTTTCAAATCTGAAGAGCTTGGAATGCAAAGAGGGACATCCCATTTGTGTTTCATTGCTGCTTAGATGTTGGCTATCATATGGCTATTTAAAACATATGTTGTTTTATATGGCCGGAATTATGAAATATTAACAAATTTGGTGTTTTCAGAGCCATTCAATTAAAGGTCCAGTGTGTAGGATTTTGGGGGATGTATTGGCAAATTGGAATATAATTTTCACAACTATGTTTTCACTTGTGTAATCACCTGAATTTAAAGGTGCTTTCAGACCTAGAGTTGTCTTGCTTTGGTCTGAATCAGGGATTAATTTTGTTACAATGTTGCATAATTGCCTATAGCAGGTTCTTGTCAGACCAGATAAAATGTATTGCGCAAGAAAGCTGCTCATGATTGCTCAGAATTTCCATGTGGGCAAAATCCGGGAAGAAAACAAAACTTCAACTTTAACAAGTAGAGTACACAAGATAAAAACGACAGTTTCTGATGTCACAATGGAGGGACAACTATGCGGGTTGATTTTAGCGCTGGTCATCGTGTACTATATTACTTGCATTGCTCATTTTAGGCAAACCATGCAGTTTGAAAACGAGGCGCGGCTCCAACTAGAAAACAATGTTTTGATGCATTGGATGTGCCGAATGTGCATATTAAGGCAGTACAGGAGGAGGTGCACATTATTAATCCTCCAGGACTGTAACATGCTCATGTTTAACCCAAACAATGGGTAATGCGACTGCAGCTGGTTCGGATCGAGGTCGGAACACGTTCTCACCACAAACAAAAGGCACCAGAGTTACTTTGTAACCGGACCCAGACCACCTCTTCAAGAAGGTCCCGGCACGGTTGATTTAGCGCTCACCTGAGTGTGATTGCTGTGTTCACACCTGACCAAACAATCCGCACTTACAGGGAAAAAGAAACTTAAGTTTGATTGAACTGAACCAAACAGGGCAGGTGTGTAAGCATCCTAAGAATCGTTGTGTTTTTGTTACTTTAGAATGAATTTAGAATTATGCCTAGAATGTAACTAATCTTACCTATTTTTTAACTATATTTCTGTGGAAATAGAAAATAATTTTGATGTGTATGTCCAGGATTAAACCCTACAATTCACTATATTACTGAATCACTAATACATTTAGCGCCTCACTTTTATCTAGAAGTCTATTTAAATTTACTCTTTAAAGAAAGTTGTTTTTTTTCCCCTGATTAAGTCAAATAACATCATAATGAGGTCTTAAATTAACAGGTTTTCCCTTTTTATATCTCCAGGGTTTATACTTTCTAAAAGAAATTAATCCTTTTCATGTACTTGGCACTAAGAAGGATAACTCCCCCTCAATCCATCTCCACTCCCCCTCTGGCAACATTCCTGCAACATTTTGTTGAGTAAACGAGACGTTCAAAAGAAGATGAATAGTGAACACATTTCTGTTCTGTTGAAACTGCACTGTTGTGTGTCGGGGTAATGAGGGTTTAGATGAAGACAGCTACTGTGGGTGGAAATATTTCTTTCACCCAGAATGAAGTCTTGCTCTTCAGAGCCTTGCAGAGGTTAGGGTTTCATACTGCAGCAGAAACACACCTTCTGGTCATCTAGCGAACATCAATCCTATATTCGCACTGTTGGCTCTAGTTTTTGCTCTCTACCAACTCCAGCTCCTGTATAGTAAGTTTCAGTTTATTGTTTCTCTGTCCAGCCCCCAGCTTTACTGTTGTGGTTCACTCTCACCTCTTCCATAGAGTTTTTTTATGAGAAAGCCACTCTGTAAAAAGCTACTGTAGTCTACCTGCTCAGCAGCAAACAGCAGACAGACACAGTTAGAAACTAGCTGGTGAACACATTGCAGCATTTAGCAACTAAAGAGATAAATTTCCCTTAGGTGCTGGTTGGGACCAAAACAGAGTTAAAAGAGAGTAAATATTGAACTGAGGAACTTTTTTTTTATTGTTTTACTCTGTTTGCTTTTGTCTGTTTGCCTTTATTTCTATTTTATGTGCTTTTGATTGCTAACATGTATTGTTTTCATCATTTGTTTCTTGTGCTTTTACCTGTGTAATCTGTAAAGCATTTGGGTTGCCTCTGGGTATGAAATATGCAATATAAACACTACTTTTCTCTTGCCTTGCCTTGCCTTACCTTGACTGATGTTCATCGATATAAAAGGTTATGATACGTCAGTGTTGTGTTCACAATTTATTTGCACTGCCTGTAAGTGACCAAAAATCAGTTACTGTAGGTTTAAACGTGTAGAGACAGAAGAAAACAATGACCTGAATAGATTATAGCAGTGGTTCCCAACTGGTAGGTTCATAAGTAGATCACAATCCATTTTGAATGAACCGCAAGTGACTCGCTAACAGGTCAAGTTAGTAAAAACCACACTTACTTTTGAAGTACAGTGATTTTTCTGGACAGAGTTTTATTTTGAAGTGCTGTTTTCTGCTATAGAGTGAGTGACTAATGGAGAGCTTCATGACAGAGACAGCAAACTAGCTTAACGACATGGCCAAGCACAAGTATGATGCTGGATATATTAAACTGTGTGGACCTTGAACTAATGACAAAGGAGACATCTGGACCCCTTGGCAGGACCAGCTGGGAACCACTGGATTACAGGACAAATAGTAAAAACAAACTGGACATGAAAATGACTTACGTGTTCGTCCCATTCGTGCCGCTGTCGGTCCATCTCCCTCAGGGTAAACAGGAGTGATGGCGACTTTGTACTCAGTGTCTGACAGCAAGGGCTGCAGAACCAGGCTGTTCTGACCTGCGGGCACCGTCCTCTGTATGCAGAAACAAATTAAAGTTTAAAATTAAGATTCAGGTGACAAAAAAACTAGCATTTGCTGTGGCTTTGGGTCAGGAGGTAGGGTGGGTCATCTACTGATCACAGCATTGATAGTTTGACGCCCACCTCCACATGTCAAGATGTGAAAATAATCCAGATGGTGAGAGAAGGTGTGTTTGACATCCACCTGTACTTATGCGCATTTTCAAATTGCACATAAAATTAAACATATAAATAAATAAATGAGTTTTAATAAATATTTTGAAAAAATCTTTCAGTATTGCAAAAAAAGTTTTAACACTTGCAGGAGGTAGAAAAATTGGTGCATCCATAAAAGGCAAATGTGACTTAGTGCAATGAAAACAGATTAAGCAAGTTAATGGTAACATACAGTAATGACATACTGTCATTGTGTAGGCCACTGCAAGCTCTCTTCAATGTCTCTGGAGGCTTTAACACACGTATGCAAACAGGGCTTGTACCAGAAGTTCTTCATGAGCACAAAGCTATAATATCTGTTGTTCAAAACTCCTGCGTTTAAAGTTTTCTTGGGGCACTTTCACCTACGTCATCTCATTGCTTTCAATTCTTTTCCAGTGAGATCTTCCTGGAGAATGAGCTCCACCCACTGCTAATCTTGATGGATCAACTCCCAATATTCACATAACAGGAGTGGATGGGAAAGCGCATAAACTGCATTTTCGTGTGCTAATTTTCTAAAAAATTTGCTCAGAATCTAATAATAATGACTGTACCGTCATCTATCTTCAGCATCTTTAAAAACAGAGTTTACAAAGTGCTTTAACAAGTAAAGCAAAAGCAGAAATTGGACACTCGGAAGGCAATACAGCAACAGAGAGCTTAACAGTCCTACCAAAACACAAGTAAGACAAAACTAGAATAGAGTTTGGATAAAGTTAAATCAAGAGGAAAAAAAATGCCAAATGCAAGTTGCAAAATGTCAGTACACACAAACAAAAAGAACAAACACAAAAAACAACACAACAACCAAATAAATAAGGAATAAAATCAATAAAAACACATCACATACAAATAAGTCTATTAAGATGTGATTTTAGAGAAATCAATGATTCTGCAAGCCTTATCTCCTCGGGCAAGTCGTTCCAAAGCAGAGGGGCCCTGAAGATAAAGGCACAATAACCTTTAAGCCTCAACTGAAATGGCCCATAGGATCTGAGGCTGCAATCTGGCTCATATTGGGTCAACAGTTCTGCTATGTGGCTTGAGGCCAGACCCAGATGAGCTTTACGAGTGATCTGTATAACTTTAAAATCTATCTTAAAACTAGAATTACCACCCTACAGCTGAATGCCTCCATGCACTAGTCAAGTTGCTCCTACAGTCTTTGAAAACATGGATGCTTCACACACATCTTCCACCAAGCAGCACAAAAGATCCATACGATACCCAAGATTAATGTCACCATTTTGGTATCTCACCAAATTTAACCAGCTCAGTGGCCTAGCAGTAGAGTGTCAGCCCTGAGACTGGGAGGTCGTGGGTTCGATCCCCGGCCGGGTCATACCAAAGACTATAAAAATGGGACCCATTGCCTCCCAGCTTGGCACTCAGATTCAGGGGTTGGAATTGGGGGGTTACATCACCACATGATTCCCAAGTGCGGCACCGCTGCTGCTCACCGCTCCCTCAGGGGATGGGTCAAATGCGGAGAACAAATTTCACACACTCAGGTGTGTGACAATCAGTGGGACTTTAACTTTTTAACTTTTATCCTCTTCTGTTTCTAAGATATGATGTTATGTAGTGGCTACAAAAGTGTTTTTGCAGAGCATTATGATGTCACAGTGAAGTTGACCTTTGACCTTTTGGATATACTGTAAAATGTCATCACTTCATCATTTTATCCTGTTAGCCATTTGTGTGAAGTAAGAATTTCTGAGTTATCCTCCTGAGACCCAAACTTTTGTTTGGTATACATTTTCAGTTTTTCCTAGCTATTTGAGATTAGTAGGACCTGATAAGTATAAAAACTAAAGATTGCCAATGATAATAAATAAAGTCCCAATATCCTCAAATGAGACAACAATAAAGCCCTGATGTCATCACAGTAGATAATAATAAAGTTCCAATGTCCTTCAACAAGCTGTTGATAAATCCCCAATGTCTGCAAATGAGTACTTTCTAATTAACAGCGTCTTAGCTTGTCCACCTTTGTGTTGGGATCAGCTGCAGACTGACTTGGCAGAGATAGCTGCCATCTTGTTTTTACATGAATTAGTGTATTGTGGTCTTACTACCACTACATGCCACAAAAAAGTGTCCACAAACAGGGACGAGAGGTCCAAGTTAAGCAGAATGACATTTAAGTTCCAGTAAACCCAAAATGTAATGTCCGCATATGAGGACACACAGTCTCAGGAGGTTATGGCCAAAAACATGTTTTGTGAGGTCACAGTGCAAGTTTAGTCCAAGAGGATGCTTGTGTCAAAGTTGAAATTTCCTCAAGGTGTTCTGGAGATATTGTTCACGAGAATGAAACAGATGCAATGTCACAGTGACCTTGACCTTTGTCCACCAAAATTTAATTTGTTCATCTTTGGATCCAAGCGAACGTTTGTGGCAGAATTTGAAGAAATGCCTTCTCGGTTTCCTTGAGAAATTACGATAACAAAAACAAGATAGACAAGGCGACGGTGATCTTGTCCTTTGACCTATGACCACCAAAATCTGATTAGTGCATTGTTGGGTCCAAGTGGACGTTTGTGCCAAATTTGAAGAAATTCCCTTAAGTGTTCTTAAAATATAACTATCACCAGACTGGGAGGGAGGGACGCATGGATGGACAGACAACCTGGAAACATAATGATAACATAATAAACAAGGAACCTATGGAGAGATGCCAGGATTGTGTCGTCATTCAGTAAGAAGCCTAGCACTGCACTTTGAATTAGCTGGAGGTGAGAGAGTGACCTTTGGTTGATACCAAATAGGAAGGAGTTACAGCCGTCAAGCCCGGAGAAAATTAGTGCATGTGACTTTTCCAAGGCTGAGTGAGAGTGTTGGTTTGATTTATGAGATGGCTCTTATTTCAGGAAGCAGGACTGGACAACTTTTTTGAGTTGTGGTTGGAAGGTCAAATATTACTTCCCAATTTCTGGCAGGAGGATTCACATTAGCAGACAAGGGACCAAGGCCACTCTCAATGGGGCTGTTAGGTTTGGTGGACTGAACAATATGACTTCGAATTTTGAGTTAATGTGTTGAAATTTGTGCCACATTTGGAAACCTAACAATTATCTTTTTTTACATATATATTATGTTGATTCAGTGTGTGTTCTGTAGCATTTCATTCTAACTCCCCAATAATTCCTGCTTTGTTTATTAAAAGAAAAAACACTGCTTTCCTTTGTAAAATTTTAGTCATACATTCATTTTAAATAGGCTCTCATTACTTAAATTAATGTTACAGCGCAGACACACTGTGAGATCACACAGTGTCAGGTGACGTGCTGATGGCAGAAGTTGGAACAGCAGGAGAGTCTGACTGTTCTCCACACTCTGCAGGAGAAACACATGCTGATTGCTTAAACAAGAACTTCCACTGGCTTTAAGTTTGTTCTAGGGAAAAAAGTTTTCTGGCAAATTATGTTTCATTTCCTGTGTTCTGATACAGGACTTGCTAAGGACAATAAAAATGTTGCACACTGCCAAAGAGATGAAAGGGATCTGAAAGAGATTTTGTCTTGTTGGAATGCCTCTTTAATATCTTCCTTATTGCATGACTGTACCTCTTTGGGACTGATTCTTAAATGAACTAAAAAAAAGCAAATTAGAATTTCATGAATTCCAAAAAAAAAACTGCATTAGCCTTTTAATGGAGGTGAGGCATAGCTAGCTGTTGCAGTGAGACTTTGAGGTTTCAGGTGCTGCAGAGGTTAATTGTGTCCAGGTTTCCTCCTCACCTGTCTGTGAACTTGGCCCTTTGTTAAAACTGATCCCTAAATGAGTCATCCGTCCAGGTGAAGCGCTGCTCCTAACTCAAGAAAAGCTAATCTGCTCTGTTACCCTGTGGGCTTCTTTTCTCCCTTTATCTCTGCTTCCAACTCTTTGTTCTTCTGTTCCTCTGTTGCTTTGTTTCTCTATCCACGTTTCTCTCTCCACATCTGCTGCTGTTTAACAGTTATAATTACTTACTGATTTACAGTGCCCTCCAAAAGTATTGGAACAGTGAGGCCAATTCCTTTATTTTTGTTGTAGACTGAAAATATTTGGGTTTGACATCAAAAGATGAATATGAGACAAGAGATCAACATTTCAGCTTTCATTTCCAGGTATTTACATCTGGATCTGATACACAACTTAGAAGATAGCACCTTTTGTTTGAACCCACCCATTTTTCATGAGAGCAAAAGTATTGGAACATGTGACTGACAGGTGTGTTTTGTTGCCCAGGTGTCTCCCAATTACATTGATTATTCAAACAATAAATAGCACTGAATGTCTGAGCTCAGTTTCAGATTGGGTACGATAGGTTTTGCCTGTGCAGACTGCATTTAGAGGTGGAACCAACATGAAAACCAGAGAGCTGTCTATGGGTGAAAAAGAAGCAATTGTGAAGAGAGAAGATGGACAATCAATCAGAGCCATTGCACAAACATTGGCCATAGCCAGTACAAACCATTTGAAATGTCCTGAAGAAGAAAGAAAACACTGGTGTACTAAGCAACAGACGTCGAACAGGTAGACCAAGGAAAACATCAGCAGTTGATGACAGAAACATTGTGAGAGCTGTAAAGAAAGACCCTAAAACAACTGTTAGTGACATCAGCAACAACCTCCAGAGGGCAGGAGTGAAGGTATCACAATCTACTGTTCGCAGAAGACTTCATGAACAAAAGTACAGAGGCTACACCAGAAGATGCAAACCACTCATAGGAGTAACAAGTAGAAGTATAGAAGTAGAAGAAGAAGTATAGGAAGGCCAGGCTGGAATTTGTCAAAAGGTACAGAGAT